CACAATTTGAAGCTCAGGGAGACAGCCAGGAAAGTTTACCACACCCAGCAGGCGCTCCAATCTTTTCAAACAAGCACTCCAGGAAACTGAAGTACGCTCTGAAGGTTTTCAAGTTCCCTCACTGTTTTCAATGCACAACCCCTTAGGCTAGCCTCCCTATGCAGTTAGCTAGCTGGAGCCTATACAAAGAAATTCTGCTTCACACAAAATACAGTAAGGGAATAAAAAAAAATCCTGAAGATCTTTCTAGATCTTTGGAGGGGGAACATTAAAACAGTCCTCACTCTCCCTTCAAGTTTTTGTGCATCCTGAAAGTTTTTCTTATGAGATATGCACTGCTAGAAGCCAGTGGCAAGCATAGGCTCTGGTCTGTGCTAACTTGAGTATCTCAGGTTTGACCCTACCCAGTGCTGAGCATTCTGACACTGGCCTGTACGCTTAATTTCTAGCAACTGAGTAGCCTCAGACAAAACTACCTTGGGAGTGTTGAAAGGCTGAAAACTACATGTGGATTTCCTGTATGTTCCTAGACTGGGGCTGATGTACTCCACCCAGCTTGTTCTGGGGTTGCCAGAAAATGGTAAATCGATGCAGCCATTTAACTGGAAGTCTGATACATTCTTTTGTGGTAATAAAATTTCCACTTTTACTCAATATTATTTTATTAATAAACATTGAATACTGCTTACTAAGAGTGGTGTGTTACTCATAAGTATAGCCATCTATCCTCGTATTTATGATTGCAGAAAACTAGCTGTAAGAGCCTCTAAAGTTATTTCAGTCTTCTCCCTTAAATCTTCCTCTTGGCAGTGATTAAAACTGTGATTAGTTTGGCAGTGGGCTTATTTACGGTCATCTGAAAGTATTAAATGACAAGAAGTTGGAAATTATTGCTCAATGAGAGATTTGGAGAGGCTTGCTAATTTAGCTATTGATTCATTCATCATTTTCTTGACCATTTTCTAAGCATGCACTTATTACACACTGGTCATTAATGTTAACATGAGAAGCTCACACTATATCATGAATTCACATCCCACAAGCTAAGGACAGGTGACCTGACTTGTTACACACTTGAGCACACAGGTATCTTTACCCACATGATCAGAATTAATGGGGGCTGGTACTTGACTTAGGGGATCTGACAAAACATCCTTTCTTCAAGTCCCTGAGCAACCTGATCTAACTTTGAAGCTGGCTCCATTGCCAGCTGGGGGCTACAGGGGGACTAGATGACCTCCAGAGACTCCTCCCAGTCTAAATCTTTTCCTATTTGATTTACTGCCTCATACAGGGAAGCCCCGTTTGCAGTTCTGCAGCAAAGATGGAAACCCAGAAAACATCCCTCTGCTTCACCCACTTCAGTTCACTTCAAACTTTACAATCAAAACCTTACTAGTGAAAGCGGCTTTGCCCAAAAATGCTGGGCCATAAACTGGAGCATCTACGGTACAGCCAGGAGTCCCAACATGCTCTACAGTACTTGAAGCAAAACAAGCAACTGGTGTAACAGCACCCTGCCCTGAAGCATTGACCAGAGGAAGTTCAAGAGAAGCCACAACCCTAATGAGTGTGTATAAACTAGGCAGAAGAGCAATACATTTTACTTTTACCATCAGACAGCACTATTAGTTACAAATTGCTAATAATGCTAATTTAGTTAGTAAATCATCCATAAGAAGCCTAAGAAAGGAAATTCACAACAAAAGAAGTGGGCAGGGATCGCTTATTTGTGAATCAATCTTTCAAATTTCAAAACATATAGGTTCTTTTTAGTGGGAAAAAAAAAACAGTATTTTTGTGTAGGTAACCTTCTGTCCAACGACCCACTAATAAAAGTTCCTCCCTCCTTTGCTAGTCACAGTTTTAAGAAAAATAAATCAGGAGCCCCCCACACTTCAAAGGGAACATACTTCAAAGGGCCTTTCTGCTTTTTCTTTCTACTCCCTCTCTTACTATCTCTTAAGCAGCCACACTTCAACTCACATTTATCCTTGACACCTTAATCAGCCAAAGCATTCACGAACTTCTCAGCAAGGAAATGCACAATCAAGCCCACATACTTATAAAACAACTAAACAATGAAGTGTAATAATTTCCTGAATTTCAACTTAACATTTCTGGAAATATACCCTGTAGCCAAACTGAAATTACAGTTAACGCTCCTAGAAGTGCAGTCATTCCAACAGTGGGGCTTTACTTCAGACAAATGATATTTTAATGGCCCCTAAGGGTAGGTAAAAAGGGTTCATGCACGCATATGATTTTTAGGCTTGATCACCAGAGGTTTCTATTTCTAAAAACAATAAAATCAGTGCTGACTATAATCCATATCTGCAATATACACTCCCTTGTATATGAAGAACATGTGGAAGTCAAGAGTACAACTCTATGTTTAAGGCAGCAAAATGCTGCCATATAAAATGCAGTGAGCTTTTTAATTTAAGTAATTTGTCATGCATAACCTAGACTGAACTTAAACATCAGAAGGGCTCTTTAAACTGAGTCTTCAAATATATCAGATCAACAATAAATCCAGTGACTGATAAAAAAAGCCCTAGTAGTACTTAAGTACTAATAAAACCAATACATCTCTGATACAGTTAAAAAGCTCTTTCTTTATTTGGGTCTCACTGTCTCCACTGTGTGCAGCAGAATGAGCCCTTAGATGAACCACGGGTATCAAAAGAAGACTACACAGGGACCGCAGTTTATTCTGATGAATATCTACTATTTAGTTCATTTTTAACTTGCCTATGTAAGTGCATAAAGGAAAAAGAGAATAATTTCAGAGTCCTCACAGTTATTTCTTTGTTGCTTTTGTATCTCTTTCCTGTCCTATTTTTGTCAACATTAGCTAATAAATATATATAAGCACATTTTGTTACTCAGACCACTATTCCTACTGAATTAAATACTTTTCACAGGACTAAAGCTGGGGGTTTACAGGATTTGAACAGTGTATTTCAAATGCTTTGGATTAGTTCCTTTCCTGCTCTGCTACTAAGAAAAGGTATATACCAGCAACAGACAGAAAAATGCAAGTCACAGCCTATACACAGAGAGTTTTGGACACAATACAATGTAAAGATTTTAATATTCCATCTGCTTTCAGTATTAATCAGCTGGTGCTGTGGTAGGTACTTACAATATTTTATGTGAAGAACAAGGAATGATTTTACAATTGCCATTACAGCTATGAAGAAAGAAGTAACAGCGGTGTTCACCAAAGAAAGTCAAACTGAAGAAACAAAGACTTATGACAAATACCTAATTTCATTCTCAAAAGAACAAAAAGCCCCCATGAGATTGGCCACAGCAGGCGAGACCAAATGTCTGTTCAGCCCCATATTCTCTGACAGCAGCCAACTCCAGATGTTCAGAAACCAAGGACAGACAATGCCATTTCACAGAACCACAGAGTCATCTGGAAGGGATGGGACTTCTGGAGGTCATCCAGTCCAGCCCCCTGCTGAAGCTGGGCTTCCCCATCTGGCTCATGCCAAAGGTCTCACCCGCTCAAGCAGTTCTCCGATCAGGCATTTCCTGGGCTAGAAGCAATGCCTTTGCACTTTCTTTTTTATCTACTAGCAGACAGTCCAAGAAAATCCTAATTTACTGCCTCTGAGATTCCTTATCTTAATGCTTGGTGATTTATGTGTTCAAAGAGCTCAGTTTCAACCACTCCTCACTCCTTCCTAAGACTCTGCACAACAGAGGGCACACCCCATTACACAGCCCATAAGCTCAGTCAGAAGTCCAAAATGGCCAGCTCAACACTCCAAAGAGAAACAAGGGAAATTACACAAGACCGTGTTAGTCAGCTGTCTGCTGCCTTTGTTATTTCCCTCAAATTCCAGTGTTTATATATTTCAATAGAGAAAAAGTTGTGTTTTTAACAAAAATAACAACCCAAACAGAGAGCAGTGCATTTGAATGCCAAATGCCTGACACCTATTGTCACAGGCCCCAGTGTCATTGATGCCTGTAGACTTGTTTCAGTAGCACCCAGGACCTAGCAATATCAGTCTCATCCTCACCATTTCATGTCAAAATAAAAGCTAGTTATTCTTTGTTGTAAAAGAATCCTCACCATCACCTCAGCCCAACTCTAAGCCTAACCAACAAAAACGTACGGGTGTCCTTCCAATAACTTCTGAGTGAAATGGTTTCAGAGCGTGCTTATCACTTACAGCTTTCAAACAGAAGAATGTAAATATTACTGCTCTTCAAGTGAGAAACTGAGGAAAGGGGATTTACCTGAGATTAGTCTTAAAATACAGCAAGATATAGCCATTCCCTGACTCCTGCTGTACGTGCAGGGCTCACACAGCACACTAGGTGGTCACCCTACAGACTGACATACGGTCACACTGAACAGCATGAAGCTTAAAATCAAACCAGTAACTTTGTATAACCCCCTGTAAAAATCTCTGCGGTGGCCGCTCTCCTTGCTGGACAACTGACAGGAGGGATACACAGATTGTAAATGTGCTGGCTCGCATTCCTGGCTCTCCCTTGCTGTTACGCACCGATCCAGCAACGCAGAGCAACTATAAAACCGGGTTTGAGCGCCGCCGTACCCTGCCAAACCCGGAGCAGGGTGCATAGGTGTGCCCCCAGCAGGTGCTGTCGCTCCCACCGCCTACGGAAGGCAGCCTGCGCGTTTACCACCCTGCAACCCCACCACGGCGCCCAGCAGGGTGCTGTGACAGCGCTGCTCCCCTTTGGCTGCGCGCAGCGCACTGCCCGTGCGGACCAACAACGCGCTCAACCTGGCTCTAATTAGCTCCGGCAGCCTTATGTTCACAATGAAACCCAGCGCTTTGTTTGGGGCGTGCTGGGATCAGGAGGCGGTACATGCGCTCCCGCCTCGGTCGGGTGCTTTTTGGGGTGCCGGGAACAGTCCAAGAGCAGCGGCAGCGATCACCTCCCCTCCGGGGCTTGGCAGCGGATGGCCAAGCGCTTTCCCGCCCGAGGTCGCCTTCTCGGCTACTTACACCAGGGTGGGCTGGCAGGGGAACTGGTTCCAGGCACACTTGTATTGGGCCTGGACGTAGCTCTCCGTCCCGTCCAGCACCGAGCAGCTCACGTTCTTGTTCACTATGTAGGCGCACCAGTTCCTGGGGCGAAAAGACAACGGCCGTCACGGTCGGGCGGCGGCGTGAGGGCAACCACACGCCGCCCCAGCCCGCCCGCCGCGGCACTCCGGCTGCCCCAACCCGCCTCGGCTCGCCCCGCCGCCGGCAGAGGTTCCCGCAGGCCCTCCCGGGGCGGGCGGTACTCACTTGCTGCGGGAGCCCGGCCGGGTGTACCGCAGGTGCGGCGTGGCGTGGCTGAGCCCGGCGCCCAGGGCGAGGAGGAGCGGCAGCGCCCAGCCCGAGGGCGCCGCGGGCCCCGGGCACAGCTCCATGGGGCGACAGGCAGCGGCAGCGGGCGAGTGGGGTCTGCGGGTGCCTGTCCGCTGGCTCCGTCCGTCCGTCCGTCCGTCCCGCCCGCCCTCGCCCGCTCCCAGCTCCCTCACTGACGCAAATCCCCCCCACCCCGTTTCCGCCCTCCACGGCGACTCCGCACCCCCTCCGGCCGAGGCGCCGCTCCCCTCCACCCCCAACCGCCCGACCCCAGCCCCGGCCCCGCTGTAGTGCCCCGGCCGAGGAGGAGCGGCGCTGCGCGCCGGCGGAGGGACAGCCGCCGGCCCCACATGGCGTCCGACCGCCATGAGAGTGGTACCCGAGGGGCAGACCCCGCTCCCCGCCCGCTGACCGAGCTGGTCGGCGACTGCCCCCGAGCCTGGTTTTCCCACTGGCATGCTGAGAACGGGGCACGCAGGGTACTGTGCCCTCCCCCCAGGGTCCTGGGGCGCAGGGCAGCCCACAGACCCTGGGCGAATGGGGCACAGGGTTCACCTTCAAGTGGTGTTGGACTCCTATGGAGGAGGTTTAGGTGAGCTTGTCACCATACCTTGACATGGTCAGCATTCCCTTGTGGGGCCCCATGGCACATCCCAGCCCTTTGGACTGGAAGGACTGCTGGTGGCCATCTCTGCAAGCCTTGTGCAGTAGGCCATTATTCATACAGAGAACATTCACTGGGCAGAGAGAGCAATGGGCATTCAGATTCACTTGGGCGTTCAAATCTAACTTGAGCCCCTTGATTGAGTGACCTGCCTGCGTGAGCCTGTCTGCAGTCAGTCCTACCACGATCTGAACCACAGGGGAGGCCCCTCTGTCCTCCTCAGCTCCAGCTCTTTTGAAGATGGTGCTTTGGAGTCAGGCAAAGGGGGAATGGCTTTAAACTGACAGAGAGTAGATTTAGATTAGATATTAGGAAAAAAAAATCTTCACTGTGAGGACTTTGAGACACTGGCACAGGGCACCCAGAGAAGCCATGGCTGCCCCATCCCTGGCAGTGTTGAAGGCCAGGTTGGATGGGGCTTTGAGCAGCCCAGTCTAGCAGATGTCCCTGCCTATGGCAGGGGGGTTGAAACTGGATGATCCTTAAGGTCCCTTTCAACCCAAATGATTCTGTGATTCTATGATTCAAAACTGAACAAAGCATCGAGGCTAGGCCATATCAGCCTGCTCCTACCAGAAGGAAGGGAAGGGAAAGGAGAGAGTTGTGCTTGGGTGGCGAAGAGGTGGGGTGGGAGATCTGGGAGCAGTGCCTGCTGCTGCTGCTGAGTCTGACCACTCCCAACCCTGCCCAGGCCTCCCATGGCCCCAGAGCCACTCAGGCTATGTCTCACATGCGGGCAAAGCAGACAGCCGTGCAGGGCCCTTTCCTCTGCTGTCAGCAGCAGCCTGCCTGAGCTGAACCTGGACCTCATCAGCTGCCCCTACCTGATGAAGCAGGCAGGTTTCATTGCCGGGTTTACAGCTGGTCTCGCCCAATGGCCTTGCTCACCTCCAGGTCTGACAGGGAATTAAAGTTTAAATGCTGGTGTCAAAATTATGCTTTCAGATTGGTTTTTAGTAACTGTTTCACTGGAAACTCACACTAAAGCTTTCTGACCCCAAGAGACATGTGTCCCATTACATATATGTAGAAACACTTTGCTGGGGATAAGTAGCAATGGGAAAATACGAGATTGTCACTTCAAACTATCCAGTTTCAGCTGGAAAAATGGCACCCTCCTAACCCTCTGCATCTGCTTTGGAGAGGTCAGCACCTCACTGTCTAGGAAATTATGCTTCAGGGAAAGGTTAAACAATTTGCTGCGCCACTGTTTACATCTGCAAGAGCATGCCAGTCAGGCATCATTAATAGTGCCGGCAGAAATGACTTGGAGTTTCTCCAGCCTGAAGAAAGCAAGTCTACAGTTCAGTCCCTAAAAAGCAGTAAAGAAGGCTTGCCCTTCCTTTTTCTCCTCCTCATACAGTTAAGGAACTCACGAAGTTGGTCCTTTTCCAAAAGTGATGAGCTATATGGAAGAGCTGTATGTTGTCCCGCAAAGGGAAAGTCATTAAATAATGAAAGACTGAGGTCATGCCCGGCTTGAGAATGACTGCATAGTACAAAAATTAATGGGCAGATGTAAATAAAATGAGCATGAACAATTCTGTTTCCATACGCAAAACATTGACCTTATATTGTGGTAAAGGGAGATAAAGCAGATGTTACCTGATTTGCCATGAGGGCACCCTTCTCACCTGTGAACCACGGACTCAAACATAACATGGAGCTCTGTTGGAAGGAGAGTGGTTACAGCCTTTGCTTGCCCCATGGATATGGCAGATAATGAGTCAGGAGTTGCCTGGAACTTAAGGACTCTGTGCACGTTTGTTCACTCAAGAGCTGTGTGAGAAAGTCTCTCTCTTGATTTTTGACATACAGGAGTTGTTCCTTTACTGTCTGGATCGACTACTTTGTAAATATTATGAAAAAGGACTTTGGAAGTAATTGCTGCCATTTCTTTAAAAGGGTGTGTGAGACTTCTTCCACTGCAAAGCACAGCGTATTGTTGAGTTTGTTTAAATTAGAATAAACCATAACAATGAAAAACAAAATCCTCCAGGGCCATTCGCTTCTCCTTGCTGAAACCAGAGCTCTGTGGGAACTGTGGGAATGCAAGCACTGCTGCAGGGAGTGAAGTTTTATGTGTGGTTGTGTGGTGGCTCAGTAAGGAGTAACAGAAGAGGATGACTTGTGCTGAGAAGTATTGAGCTGAATAGAAACAAATTAATTTGGGCAGATGCATAGGGCTGATCTCAGCTCCTCTAATACTCACACTGGGCTTATGATATCAGCTGATTCAACAACAACCAGTAAAGAAACAGGGCTGTGCTGGGAGAATCTTCAGCTCAGGTGCACACAACATACAGTCCAAGCTCTGGTCATGGCTGCATTTTTTTCTATGGGTGTAACGGGTTTTATTTCAGAGTGTAAGTATGAAGGTAATCATGCTCTCAAGGAGACAGCAATGCTCACACTTCCCTTTTCTGTGCTATATCCTCTCATTTCTAAAATTCACAGAAATCCCAGGACAGATGATGCTTACAGTGCATGGAAAGCATCTCTCCACCCCTCCCTCCAAATGGAGCATGTAGTCTCCTCCACTGAGGAGGGCTTCAATGACTGGTGAGGTCAGTACACACATCCTTGAGAGACAGAGATCACAGATGTGAGTCCATAAATCCTTTTAAATTGTTTTAAAGTTTTGTTTCTTTACTAAGCAGTCTGGCTGTATTTTCAGCACCAAGATCAACTGCACTTTCATACTTCACTGCAGGATAATGATGGGGAAACAACTAGGGCCATGTGCAAGGGTCAGCCAGAGAAAGGTGCACAGAACAGGCAGGCAGGATAAACAGAAATACTATTATCAGAGTATTTACTGCAGAACTGCAAAAGAGAAATGTGTCTTTAATGGTGTGGTGCCTGGGGAGGAAATGTTCTCCCTGCAGTTTACCCCTCTTATGTAGAAGCTCAGATTTCAGCTGTAAATTGCTTTTTGAATTCTGGGTTCTTTTCCTTCAAGGTCACCTACTCAAAAAATTGCCAACATAACCTGAGGTGAGTGGATTTAGAAAGGTGTTTCTACTCTCTTGACACTTCTCTTTAATAAAAATGCTCTCTTGTCTAGAAATATTGTCTGTTGCACAGAGGGCCTTTCAGGTGCTTCTAACCCAAACATCAGATGTGAGAAGCCAGCCTACAGCTAGTGCATAGTCTGGCTTACATTTGGCACTGTATTAACTCTTGTCCGCAGGACAAAGCAGGTCACAGTGTCCCTTTGGAAAGATGAAACTGGTAACAAAGAAAAGTTTGAAAGGAAGCTGTAGGAAACTCTATGCTAACAGAGGAAGGCTTGAACTGAGGTGCATGACACATATTGGTTTGGATATACCAGGAAAAGCACTCTGTGGGGAAAGAGGAGTTCAAGCTCCTCTGTTAACTATTTTTCAGGGACATGATACAGCTCCGTCACACTTATGTATATGTCACTACATAGTAGTCTTTGAATTAATGTTAACATTTGGAGAGGGACTCTTCATTAGAGACTGTAGTGACAGGACAAGGGGTAACAGGTTAAAACTTAAACAGGGGAAGTTTAGGTTGGATATAAGAAGGAAATTCTTTCCTGTTAGGGTGGTGAGGCACTGGAATGGGTTGCCCAGGGAGGTTGTGAATGCTCCATCCCTGGCAGTGTTCAAGGCCAGGTTGGACAAGGCCTTGGGTGATATGATTTAGCGTTAGGTGTCCCTGCCCACGGCAGGAGGGTTGGAACTAGATGATCTTAAGGTCCTTTCCAACCCTAACGATTCTATGATTCTATGATTCTATGATTCTACGATTTCTAATTCAAGCCTAGGACTGGAGTCTGACAACTTCTCCCCTCTCACATCAGATCATGAGCTTTTTTTTGCCACATCTTTTCAAAAATAATTCCCCACTGCAAAAGCCAGGTTTCAGTTTTGATATTTTATGTGTAATCACCTCACTGAAGGCAGCCAGACACATACTAGCTGTGAATGTTTAATGAAAATTAATGACCGGATTATAAGTGAATAATAAATGTTAATAAAATTACTATTTATAAACATGTTAAAGAAAAAATAAAAGCCCTAGTGAGGAGTGAGTAAATAAGCAAAGGAGAGAAAGGAGAGCAGAAGATTTTGGCTTTCTTTTTACTGGAAAGCCACTTTGGAGGGCCATAACTTTAAAGATTTTGTTAAGTCCACAAATGAGATCCGCACTAGCAGCTATGGAGTATGCAGAGTCCATGTGTTTCTGACCAGTGCTTAGGCCACATATTCACCTAGCTGAAGTACCATATTTGCCTATCTAGGCACTTATGGTGTGGTGTCATAGGAGCTCTGTGAAACAGGCTCAGGGATGTTTCAGTGCATGGGTGAGCAACCTGGCAACTCCAGCCTTTCTTTATTGGTGTTATTTCCCATTTGAAGGAAAATGTTTGTGCTAAGTTTACTTACTTACTTAAACAGAAAAACAAATCAGTGTATTACAAACAGCCCAAACATTGCTCAGTTGTGGCATGCATGAAG